TGAAAGCTGTCTTTATCTTCGGTGCCTCACCTCCCTGGACTACATGTGAGCTTTGGAAATCTGTGGTCGCTATCTAGAATCACTCCAGGCAGTGCTTGCTAAGTGCTTTGGTCTTTTTGAACACTTGGTCTCATCAATTTTTTATCGTGTTCACATACCTGTTCCCTTTGTACATTCTTAATGGAATCACGTGATGAAGATGTGACGGCCAGGAACACACAAGAGTGTAGGTGTAGCATACTTCTTTATATTTTCAGCATTTAGCGTATTGGTGCTTATATGTGCATAGCCAGAGGGTTCTTCCTGTTTCTGTAGTTCAGTAGGCGCCGTCCAGGCGTGGGCACTGGGGTGCGGCAGGTTAAGCCGCCACTGGAGACGCTGGCGTCCCCCATTGAGTGCCTGGTTCGAGCCCTAGCTAACTCCGCTGCGGATCCAAGTTCTTGCTAATGCATTTGGGAGGCAGCGGAGGATGGCCCAGGCACTTGGGGCTCTTGCCACCCATGTGGGAGACCCGGATGGAGTTCCTGGCTCCTGACTTTGGCTGTTGAGGGCGTTTAGGAAATGAACCAGTGGATGGAAGAGTTCCTGTCTCCCTCTCTCCCTCCCTCACCCTCTCTCCATCTCTCCCTCTCTCTTCTCTTTTCAAATAAATAAATTAAAAAATAACTAACAGTGATTGTTCAGGCATATTCAATGAAGACAGCAGATTGAGCAAAATGAAAAAGCGTTTGAAAACTTCCATCTAATTTTGGTCAAGAAACAGACAATGATCTTCTTACTTGGTGAATTATTATTTTAGCTTTGAACATCTGTGAGGCACAGAAAATTTCAAGAGATTTTACAAACACACACTTTTTCAAACAAAAAGACACTTATATTCTGAAATAATTAGGTTTAGAAAATCCCCAAATCTAGATTAATGTAAAGTCTTAAAACACCACCTTGGACCAAAACAAAAACCCACCAAATGACCTGTTTGTGAAGGCGGAATAGATATTTGCTCCAGCAACTGAAATCCAAACGGAGTGGTAATGGCAAGGTTGGGCTCCCTGGAGTTTTCTTCAAGGTAGCTTTGTGGATCTCAGGATGGGTGCGGTGTTTGTGCTGCGGCTGCAGGAAGGCAAACACAGATTCCCATTTGGCAATATCATTAGAAAACATTTAATTTCGGGCCGGCGCCGCGGCTCACTAGGCTAATCCTCCGCCTAGCGGCGCCGGCACACCGGGTTCTAGTCCCGGTCGGGGCGCCGGATTCTGTCCCGGTTGCCCCTCTTCCAGGCCAGCCCTCTGCTGTGGCCAGGGAGTGCAGTGGAGGATGGCCCAGGTGCTTGGGCCCTGCACCCCATGGGAGACCAGGAAAAGCACCTGGCTCCTGGCTCCTGCCATCGGATCAGCGCGGTGCGCCGGCCGCAGCGCGCCTACCGCGGCGGCCATTGGAGGGTGAACGAACGGCAAAGGAAGACCTTTCTCTCTGTCTCTCTCTCTCACTGTCCACTCTGCCTGTCAAAAATAAAAAAAAAAAAAAAAAAAAAAAAGAAAACATTTAATTTCATAAAAGCCACTGTTTCCCTCCGATTATTTGTCTGCTCCCTGGTTCTAAGAGTAATTTGGAACAAAGTATCTCCTACTCTGTAAAAGAACGTCTCTGTCATAGTGTTTATGAAACTGTGAACTCCATGATTGTTGCTTGGCTGTGGGCAGTGCTGTCGTGGTGCTGCCTGGAGACCTGGGTGTGTGTCTGTGTGTCCCTGCTCTTCAGCGTTGTTGATCAAGTGACTTTGCGGATATTATTCTGTCTCTGGGTGGCGCTGAGGGAGTTGTGGTTGTGACTTGTCTCCCTAGAAGAGGATTGAACCTGCTACACAGGGCTGTTGCAAGGATTACATGAACTTGTATGCAAGATCCCTAACCCTGATACTGGCACACAGTAGGCCCTCAGTGGAAGAAAGCTGTTACCTGCAGCCTCTGTGACAACAGGGCTGGGTCTTGAGACACCTTACGTGCTAACCATGTAGGTGTTGGAGGCAGGGTGGTCGGATAAAGTGCAGCATGCATTTCAGATAAACAGTACATGTATTTTCCTTTGTAGTCCAGGTGTGTCTCCAATAATATTTGGGAAATATTTCCACTAAAAATTTCACTGTGTGTCTGAAGTTCAAAGGTAACTCGGTATGCTGTGTTTTTTCCTATGCCCGATCTAGCAGCCCTAAGGGGAGGAATATTGTGTGTGGTCACAAGGGTCCTGCGGGACACCCTCAAAACACAGCCCGTGCCGCTCCCCTCCAGCTGGTGCTGCTCCCTCCAGCCCCGGTCCTGCCGCTGGAGCGCTCCTGGCAAGCTTGGAGCAGGTCGGCTGGAGCGGCTCTGGGTGCACATCGTTGGCCTGGAGCTGCTGAGCGGTGGATACGTGGGACCTTCACTGGTTGGGAAGATGAGACTTAGGAACCAGCAAACGTTCATGTAGGAGATGGGAGTACGGAATTGTGTTGAGCTGAGTGTTAGGACTGTAAGTGCTAGGGGAGGTAAGTGCTAAGGGGAACGCTCCATGAAAACTAGGTTTAAGGAGAGGGGCGGCTGGGCACCGCAGCTGCGCAGGTGAGGAGGACCCGGCCAGGGGGTGGGAATCTGAACTTGGGGGCTCCCCGGACTTCCACCCCTGGTTTTGTTTCCTTAGGGACTCTTTATGATGGATAAGCTTGGCTGGGCAGAGGCTTGGGTCAATAATTGACAGCCAGAGCTGTTCACCGTCCTTTCTCCACAACCACCTGATGCCCAGTGGCCAGCGTGTGCGCCAAGCTACTGTCAAACCCTGTCATTTACTCTGTCTCCTCTACTTCCAGGATGTCCAGGGACTTTCTTATCCCGCCCCCCCCCCCCCCCCCGGGATTGCTCAGTGCCCAGGCGTTTCTTCCAGGTTATGCAGCCATGTTGCCTGGATCCTACTTCCTGTTCAGGACCCCGTTAACAGGGTAGTGCCCTCCCTGCTGGGGCTCAGACCGCACTGTGGTGATAAAATGGACCCGACCCAGCCAAGAATTTAACCTCTTGTTGGGTCTTGGGAGTTACATGGGTGAGACCAAGTCAGTTTAGCCGGAGGGGTAACCAGTTTGTATTTCAAATGTCCAGCAATGAATCTTCACTGAGCTTCTCTTTTACCAAAACTGACGTGTGTGTGTGTGTGTGTGTGTGTGTGTGTGTGTAGGGGGCTGTTGACCTTGGGGACTTTGTAAATTAGATGGACGTGAGGCAGATGGTGCCCCTGTGGTAGAACAGTTCAGGGACACCGACAACTGCAAGGTAGGGATAGCGTAATGTGGAGAGAATGCTGGGGCTCTGTGCACTTGGGGTGGTGACAGGAATGAACGTCTTCTTCCTGCTGAATTGTGGCCCAGATTTTAAAATGAATTAGCTTATTGGAAAAGGAGCTGCTAGGATACCCCAAACCAGGGAGGTGCCAGGGAATAGCATATGCAAAAATAATAATAATAAATGCAACCAGCGGGATGGCTCGTGCCATGCTTCAAAGTTTGGAAGGCTTTCCAACGTCTGCAGAGCGCTGGGGGCTCCCAGGCTCTCTGTGCCACTGCAGGTTTGCTCACGTTCCTGTCAGTGCCCGTCTCCCGATACACATGCACCCAAGCACACAGACTCACACGCCCTCCCCTCCCCGGTCTGGGAGCACAGCTCATTCTGTGCCTTGTACAGAGCCGTGAACAGTGCCACACACGTCGAAAGTGGCCTGCAGGCGCCTGATGGGCGGGTGTTGGGCATAGGCAGGTGGTGGGCGGTGAGATGGCCAGTGAGGATGCCTAGGACGAGGACCAGAGGAGGAGGAAGTGTGATGGGGAGACTGAGCTCACACACACTGGGAGGCTGGGGTGTGCAGGTGTTGAAAGAACCAGGATGTGATGACCCACAGCAGTGCAGCCAAGCGTGAGGGCCATGACCAGGGCAGCGGGAGACCCACGGTTAAAACGAGTCGTTTTCCCATTTGCTGCCTTCTTGGCAATATAACCCCCTCCCCATTATTGCTCGTAATAGTTTAGGGGTTTTTATCCACAGACATCTTGTAAAGTAAAACCTGCACGTCCTACGAACGGCAAACGGGGGCGCAATGGGCGTGAGAAGTCTTGCACCCCAACTCCTTCCCCTTCCGCACGGGTGATTTTTGTGCTTGATTCTGGAGTCTGAGTTGTTTGCCTGTGACAATAAGGATGTGCCGGCCAGCCGTTTGGGTCAGCACTCAGAACCCGCAGGTTCTCCTCTGTCCGCCTCCGTGAGGATGAGCGGTCCCCGCGAGGTGTGCGTGCGGGCCCCGCAGATGCCCGCCAAGTTTGCGGGTTGCCCACTTGCTCGCTCTTGCGCGTTAACGCGATGCGTGGACCGAACCAGGTGGGACGCCCGCTTCGCGTCGCACAAGACCGGCCACACGACTGTCCAGAGGAGCTCGCGTGAGGGAAACCTGCTGACGGACCGAGGCTCCAGACCGGCTGCGCCCCGACGCCCGTCCGGGGGGCACCGGCCTTCCCGCCGCCCGCGACCCCCGCGCGCCCGGAGCGGACCCACGGCCCCAGCCGCACGCGCCGCGCGCAGGTCGGGCGTCCCCACGCGGGACAGGGCCCTCTGTGTGGAGCCGCGAGCCACGGCGAGTCAGCGGGCGAGGAGCCGGGCGCTGTGGGGAGGGCCACGCGAGCGGCCGCGGGACCCCCAGTGCCGCTGCCCTCAGCCGAGCCCGGAAGGGGGCGACGGCGGGAGCGGAGCACGGCGCAGAGAGGTCTGCGCCCGGCCCCGCCTGGCCACGCCCACGGCCACGCCCACGGTCCGGCCACGCCCCCGACCTCGCCCCATTGCCTGCGGACGAACTGTACCCCGGGCGACGGCCCCGCCCCGCCCAGGGCCCCGCCCTCCAGGGCCCCGCCCCCAGGCGCCGTCTGGCCTCGCAGCCCCGCCCCCTTTGTGCAGCCGCGCCGTTGCCCCGGCGACGGCGCCGCCCCGCCCGGCCCCGCCCCGCCCCCCGCCCCGCCGCAGTCCGCAGGAGCCGCCGCAGCAGCCGGCCGCGGGGCGGGATTCGCGGGGCGCCGCCGGGAGCGCAGCTCGACTCCGTCGCGCCTGTGCTTCGCCCGCGGGATCCGGCTGACCAGCTCGCCCTCCGGCGAGGAGTCGCGGCTGCACGGCCGCCGCAGGGGCCCGCCCACCGGACCCTGCCCGGGCCGGCCGCCCGCCCGCCCGTGCGGACTCTGCCGTTGATGACACCTGGCCGACGGCTGCCATGGAGGGGGACGGTTCCGAGGCGCTGGTGCGTGGGGCGGGGCGGCGCGGGCCCGGCGTCCCCTTCCTGCCCGGGGGCCGGGGCCGGGGTCCCGGGGGTGGCCCCGGGCGACTGACGCTGGGGGCGCGGGCGCCGCCCTTTGTGCGGCGGCGGGGCCGGGCGCGGTCGGGGCGCGGCGCTGCGGTGCTCCGTGGGCGGGGCGGGGCGCCGGCTGTCCCCGCAGGTTGGGGGCGCTGGGTGCCCATTGTGAGGAAGAGGCCGGTGTGGACGGCGCGAGGCGTCTGGGCGCCGCTGCCCCTGGGGTGACCATGCCCGAGCCGGCGCGAGGGCCCCTTTGTGCGGCGGGCCGGGTGGCGAGGGTCCCCGGAGGTGGCGCCGAGGGGCGGTGACTTTGGCCTGCGGGACACGGCGTGCGCGGACCGGCCGGGGCATGACGGAGCACACAGTCCATTCCGTCACCGTGTGACCTCGGGGTGTGTGCAGCGGCGGACGGGACTGTGGGAGCAGGGACGCGCGGATTCCAGGCACGCGGCCAGTGGGGATGCGTGGGAAAAGCCCACCCAAGGAGGCAGGGGACCGCCGGTGTGAGGACCTGGGACCGTGTCAGCCACAGCTGTCCGCAAGGAGCCCTCTGTTCCCTGGCTGGCTGCTCACTCACGGTGTTCACGCGTGCTCACAAGTGTCCATGCGTGTTTACCCGGTGTCCACGTGTGCTTACCTGGTGTCCACGCGTGCTTACACCGTGTCCATGGGTGCTCACACTGTGTCCGCCTGTGCTCACAAGTGTCCATGCGTGCTTACAGGTGTCCACGCGTGCTCACAAGTGTCCACGTGTGCTTACCTGCTGTCCACGCGTGCTTACACAGTGTCCATGGGTGCTCACACTGTGTCTGCCTGTGCTCACAAGTGTCCATGCGTGCTTACAGGTGTCCACGCGTGCTCACAAGTGTCCATGCGTGTTTACCCGGTGTCCATGTGTGCTTACACAGTGTCCATGGGTGCTCACACTGTGTCCGCATGTGCTCACAAGTGTCCGTGCGTGCTTACCCGGTGTCCACGTGTGCTTACTGGTGTCCACGTGTGCTTACCCTTTGTCCACGCATGCTTACACGGTGTCCGTGTGTGTTCACAAGTGTCCACGCATGCTCACAAGTGCCCACACGTGCTTACAGGTGTCCACGCGTGCTCACAAGTGTCCATGCGTGTTTACCCGGTGTCCACGTGTGCTTACACAGTGTCCATGGGTGCTCACATTGTGTCCGCCTGTGCTCACAAGTGTCCACGTGTGCTTACCCGGTGTCCACGTGTGCTTACACAGTGTCCATGTGTGCTCACAAGTGTCCATGTGTGCTTACAGGTGTCCACGCATGCTCACAAGTGCCTGCACGTGCTTACCCTGTGTCCATACGTGTGCTTACAAATGCCCATGCGTGCTCACAAGTGTCCACGTGTGCTCACAAGTGCCTGCACGTGCTTACCCTGTGTCCACGCGTGCTTGCACGGTGCCCGTGTGTCCGTGTAGTGCTTCTCAGGAGAGTCCGGCTGTCACAGATGCAGCCGTGAAGCAGACTCAGGCAGTGAGAACCCGGCGGGTCATCAGCTGCAGACCTGTCTCCCAGGATTCCAGGGGCGTTCTGGCCGGCTTGGATGTTTCCCCAGTTCCTGTTTGTGCAATGGGCGCACGGTCTTTGAAAATCGCATTTAAAATCGAGTGAATCCCTCAGGATTTCACTCAGGCTCCACGTGCTTTGAGTGACATTAGGTTCTGATAGAACATAAGCTGCCTAATACCTTATGCTAATTTTTGCTCGTAGACTTCTTTCCCTTCTCCTGTCTCCTGTCCCCAGAGACCTTCTGTTGAAGTTCATTTCGTAAATACCCAGTTTAGGGACAGACTGCGACACTGGGTGCCGGGCAGTCGATGATACAGAATTTCACAGCGCAGAGGGACTTGCCCGATCCCTGCTTCTTGCTGACGCAGGGGCGCGCGCAGGCATCACGCCCACCACGGCCTTTGATGCTCTGCTCTCCTCTGATCCAAGGTCACCATCAAGAATATCGAGAGGGAGCTCGTTTGCCCGGCGTGCAAGGAGCTGTTCACCCACCCGCTGATCCTGCCCTGCCAGCACAGCATCTGTCACAAGTGTGTGAAGGAGCTGCTCCTGTCGCTGGATGACGGGCTCAATGATGTGGGCTCCGACACCTCCAACCAGAGCAGCCCCCGGCTCCGGCTGGCCTCCCCCAGCATGGACAGGATCGACCGAATCAGCAGGCCAGGTACGTGTGCGGAGCCGGCTGCGGGAGGAAGGCATTTTCGTTGTCTTGGCAGTGACTTTTTCCAGGAGACTTGATTAGGACTAGAGTTGCAAGTGGTCCTGGCCCTATGCCAGTGTCAGAATGGACTCCTGTCGTTGGATCTTGAACACCTCCTGTGTGCTGAGCGCCTCGATACCTGTATTTCGGGGTGTTCTGACTCTGGGATGGTCTTGGTGTGATAGAATACTGGGCTGCCTTAATGCTTACATCCACGTACGTAAAATGCTGCAGAGTCACGGGCGGGGACCACATTATGGCTAGTCCTAGCAAGCTGTCGGAGGACTTCCTCGATACACTGTGTTCTATCCGAGGACTTTATTTTCTTCAGCCATTTATTGAAAACAGAGCTTTTGAGCATCATAGATAGGACGGACTGCTGTAATAGCGTGCAGGAGTGGCTCTCGTTTGATAGCCACTGCAGGGTTGATGGAGACCAAAATTAGATTGAAATCACTGGAGTGGGGAAATTCAGGCCAGAGCCTGGCGCTGCAGTCGGTGGGGAGGAGGGGTCAGGAAGGCAGCCCCCACGGCCTCCGTGAAGACGCCACCGCCTGCGTGGCCCTGGGGACCCGGCCTCAGAGCTACAGCTCGGCCGGTTTGGGTGTGAGGTTTTCACTTACTCTGCTGTCCACTCTGTCGGCTTCTTCCCCTCGGTGGACAGGAGTGACTTTGGTTGAGCGATGCGTCTGTGCTCCATCAGAGAGTGGGGGAGATTTACTTCAACAGTGATGCTGTGCTGTTTTTAAAACATGTATTTTTCTTGAAATGCCGGTCCTGGTCAGCTGCACATAGAAAGTGTATGCATTAGCAAACAGAGGAGTGCTGGGCGTGAGGGGGGCGCAGGGCCAGGCTCGCTGTGAGGTCGCCACTGCCGCTCTTCCCGCCTCTGGCTCCGCGTGCAGGGGAAGAGAGGCAGAGGCTCCTTGAAGCCCCCACCATGTAAAACTGGGCGTTCTGACCCCGCTGACTCACTGGGGCCCCATGTAAGACTGACCGAGGAAAATTTACTTTTTATCTGTGACTGTGTAGCACAGCAATTAAGCAGAGATTTGGTGAGGTGCTAGTATTTTTTTTTTTAAAGATTTATTTATTTAATTCAAAGGCAGAGTTACAGAGAGGCAGAGGTAGAGAGAGAGAGAGAGAGAGAGAGAGAGAGAGAGAGGTCTTCCACCCGATGGTTCACTCCCTAGCTGGCTGCAACAGCTGGAGCTGCGCCGATCTGAAGCCAGGAGCCAGGAGCTTCTTCCGGGTCTCCCACGTGGGTGCAGGGGCCCAAGGACTTGGGCCATCTTTCAGTGCTTTCGCAGGCCACAGCAGAGAGCTGGATTGGAAGAGGAGCAGCTGGGACTCAAATCGGTGCCCATATGGGATGCCGGCACCACAGGCGGTGGCTTACCCGCTACACCGCAGTGCTGGCCTCAAATAGCTGGTATTTCTGCATATGATTAGACTGCACACGCATGTCTTTTTTAAAAATATTTTTTTTATTTATTTGAGAGGTAGAGTTACAGACAGTGAAAGGGAGAGACAGAGAGAAAGGTCTTCCTTCCACTCCCCAAATGGCTGCAGTTGCCAGAGCTGGGCTGATCCAAAGCCAGGAGCCAGGAGCTTCTTCTGGGTCTCCCATGTGGGTGCAGGGACCGAGCACTTGGGCCGTCTTGTGCTGCTTTCCCAGGCCACAGCAGAGAGCTGGATGGGAAGAGGAGCAGCTGGACTAGAACCAGCGCCCGTATGGGATGCGGGCGCCGCAGGCAGAGGATTAACCTGCTGCGCCACAATGCCGGCCCCACGCGTGTCTTTTCATGAAGTCACAGGTCGTGGGCTGCTCTCATACGTTAACTGCTTCTGTTTTCAGGAACATAGGTAGGGTGGCACCCTGTAGGTGCTTAATAGATAGCAGAGTGCAAGCTTCTGCTCCGAGGGAGACAGAGGGCGTGACGTGTGCACGTGGGTTCAGCAGAGGCCTTTCTCAGGGCGAGAGCTCCTTCTCCCTGCGTTCCCCCGCGCGGGTCAGAACTGGGGCGGTGGAGGCAGTCCGCTCCTCTTCAGGAGCACTGTGAGGGGGATGGTGGCGTGCTGGGACGCTGCTGTGTGCAGGACACTTGCAGGAGCTGAGACTGCTGTCCCTGGACGGGAGTGGCCGCAGGCTGTGTGGACCGGAGAGAAAGGCGCCCTTTGGGAGTCCTCTCGAGGGTTCAGATCAGGGGGTACACGGGCGGGGGGGGCAGACTGACACAGCAGCTCCTGAGGCTGTCCAAAGAAAGGGCTGCCTAAATGCATGGCACCTGTCACTGGAATGCTGAGTCAGGTGTCAAGGTCAGGTGCTGTACGGGCCAGGCAAGCACGTTAGTGAAGCAGGCACTGGGCACGGTAAATGCGGAGCCCGCTCTCATGTTCATTCTCTGATACAGAGATGATAAACGCAAGCATTTCATTCTCCTGTTTGCTCAGCTAAGGTCGGCCGCGTGCTGCCTTTATGGCTCCCTGGTGGAGACGGCCCAGGGCGGTTTGGGGCCGTGGGGACTGCAGTGGGTGCCTGGCTGAAGGGAGCCACTTGGCACTGACGAGTTCCTGTGGGGGACCAGGACTACCAGATTGTGAATTCACTGGCTTTTCATGAAAACCTGACGGCAGTTTTTATGTGAAATCTCTTTAAATGATTAATTTGAGCGGTTTGGAAACCTCAAAGGATGGGCATCTTTGGTTCTGACCCAAACAGCTTTTGGGCCATCCACGCGCGTGCTGTTTGTTTTAAGCCGTGGATGGGCGACCACTTCTGCCAGTACTAGGGGAGGGATTTCTGCCGTGGATGGGCACCGGCAGCTCTGTGCTCTAACACCACTTCCAGTCATGCAGCAAATACTTAGGTGCCCACTGCTTGCTGGGCACGGCCAGTGCTGGGGACTCAGGCACAAGTCCCGTGGCCCTTGTAGCTGAGTGCTGTGCAGGGTGTGCAGGGAAGTGGGCTCGTCAGAGCCCAGCATTCACCAAGAGCCCACACAGAGCAGGTGCACAGACACAGGTAGGGCACCTGGAGACGCAGCTGGAGAGCGGCACTGCTCTAGGCACGCAGCGTTTATTAGATGAGTGCCAGTTTAGGGCTGCCCTGCTTGGCCGGATGAGCGGTGCTAAGTGAATAGAGTTCATTGCATTGCGATCATTGTTACCTATCCTCCGTTTATTGGACATTTGCTTATAATTGTTTGTGATGGATTCAAACATGGATTCAAGAGTAGTAGTGTTCCTTTTCTTTTTCTTTTTTACGGATTTATTTATTTATTTGAAAGGGGGGGGGCGGGGGAAGGGGAGGGGGAGGGATCTTCTCTCTGCTGATTTACTTCCCAAATGGCTGCCACGGCTGGGGCTAGGGCAGGTCAAAGCGAGGAGCCAGGAGCTTCTTCCGGGTCTCTCACACGGGTGCAGAGGCCCAAGGACTTGGGCCATCCTCCACTGCTTTCGCAGGACACAGCAGAGATGGGAAGTGGAGCAGCTGGGACTCAGACTGGCGCCCGGTGGGATGCCGGCGCTGCGGGTGGAGGCTTACCCTTCCAGGCCTGGGCACCGCCCCCTGCCTTTCTCTTTCTAATACGCCGCTTTAACATTTTTTTGGTCTGTCCTGAGAAAGACCTCAGAAACCTTATTCTGAGCAATTGGGGTCAGTAGAATTGTGAATATTTGTTTGCAATTGGATTAAGAAAGAGTTCTTTAGACCTGGGCTGCCATGTGACTATGGAGATGTGCCCTCAGTGTCAGCAAGCTGTGGATTTTAAAGTTAGCATAAAAAAGACTTAACATATCCTGTAATCTGATACTGATTAAACCTTGAAATGATGGTGTTTTGGATATGGGGGGTTAAATAACTTATGTTATTACAATTGATTTCACTAGTTAATTTTTAAAATGTGACTGCTGGAAAACTCAAAATTGCTTATGTCATACTTTTATCTCATGTGTTTCTCCTGGATGCCATTGCATTAGACATTTGGTTTTTTAAAAGATTTTTTTTATTTGAAAATCAGAGTTGCAGAGAGAGAGAGAGAGAAAGAGAGACAGAGAGCAAGAAAGAGATCTTCCAGCTGCTGCTTTACTCCCCAGATGGCCACAATGGCCATAGCCAGGAGCTTCCCCTGGATCTCCCACTTGTGGGTGCAGGGGCAGGAGCACCGGGCCATTCTCTGCTGCGTTTCCCAGGCCATTAGCAGGCAGCCGGAAGAGGAGCAGCAGGGATACCAGCCAGCGCCCATTCGGGATGCCCACGTAGCAGGGCGCGGCTTTATCTGCTATGGCATAGTGCCAGCCCCGATGTGGTTTTTAAAGCAAGAGAGCAACGGAGAAGGAGAGTGGGGCTTGCGAGTGCAGTACAGTAGCACAGCACAGTACACGGAGTAGAGGTTAGGTTGCTTTATGATTTTCAGTCATTTATGCGCAAGCTCCCCCCCCCCCCCATTTTGTATTTTCTTGTCAGTTAGCTTTAGCAATGTTTATTTACAGCTTTTAAGTCAATAAAAAGGCAAACGGAGATGCTTGATTTCACTTTCATTCCCGACATTAGCACGTCTGGTCTCAGGAGCGGCTGCGTGGTGATGGATCCCAGCTGGCGGTTCCGCGAGGCTGGCTTGGGAGCCCCACGTGTACCAGGAGGGGCTCACCGTTGCTGTCCGCTCTGTCGTCGTGTTAGGTGGCGGACAGCCACGGCTTTCTCTTCTGTTAACCAGTGTGAATCTTCTCTTTGAAAGAGAATCTGAATGCAGCTCTCTGTTCATTGTCCGCAGCCTCCCAGCGGAGAACTCTGGGGTGGAGAGGTAGACGCTGTGTTTGTGCTTTGGCAGCCGGGGCCAGGGGGCAGGCGGGGTGGGTGGTGCTGGACCTCCCGTAGGCAGCCTGGCGGGCGTGAGCCTCTGGATGGCAGTGGTCAAGTCTTCAGGGTCACTCAGAGCCAACACGCGGGGCTGCGTGAGCGGAAGGGCAGCCGGACACGGGGGATTTGTGTCTGCATCTTGTCACTCTATCTGACAAGACATTTTTGAAGAAAATGATGTATACTCCCTTTTTTAAAAAAATGCAGCATTCCTTAAAAATCCTTTCTGCTTCCTTGGTGGAGCGAGGCTTCCCTGCCTTGGCACGTCTCAGTGAGGCAGGTGTGTTAGGCACTGAAACGCTGGGTGCAAAGTGCAGTTAGCAGCGTGGTCTTCGCCTGAGTGAGGCACACCGTGTCTTTCTGCGCCCATCAGTGTTTTGTTGAAGTTGGACACCGGGGTTTTAGCCCCAAGGTCTTGTCCACTTGTGGGTCAGTGACGCACCTCCTTGTGTAGGTCTCACTCCAGTGGACCTCACAGTGAGATGGGCGCCCTCTGTGGCGTGCTGGTGGCGCCCCCGTTTTGCAGGAGGGTGGCGAGCGCTGCACGTCATCCCTTTTCTGCCGACCTTGTTGCCTCCTGCGTGTTTGTTTTTAACGCCTGGGGCCCGCTGGGGGCCGCGTCCTGCGGTCAGCGGGAGTCCCAGGACAGGAAGTGTGGGCCGCAGCACGCAGCAGGAGGGACGGCAGCAGGCGGCTTTAAGAAAGGTGGTCAGAATGTACTGAAGAGACGTGACAGGTGCAGCTCCTGCCACACGCAGAAGCCCGCCTGAGGGCCCCCCTGGCTCAGTGTCGCGGTGCGTGCGTGTAGCCAGAGAGAGGCTGAGGTTAGCAGCCTGATGGTGATGGATGAGTCTCTACTTTTTTTTTTTTTTTAATATTTATTTGAAAGGCAGAGTTAAAGACAGAGAGAGAGAGGGAGGAGGGAAGAGAGAGACCTTCCATCTGCTGGTTCATTCCCCCAGATGGCCGCAATGGCCAGGGCTGGGCCAGGCTGAAGCCAGGAGCCAGGAGCTTTGTCCGAGTGTCCTTGTGGGCCATCTGCTGCTGCTTTCTCAGGCACCTTAGCTGGGAGCTGGATCGGAAGTGGAGCAGCCAGGACCTGAACCAGTGTCCATATGGGATGCTGGTACTTCACGTTAACACATTCCAACAGAAGGCCGGCCCTGGATGGCTCTCTTCTCCGGGTTTAAAGTGCTCTGTTTTCTGTTTGGTACCTACATGGGAACACGTAGTACCAGAAGCTGAGGGAGATTTGCTTTCCATCACTTTGAAAGTACGTGGAGTCTTCGTTCTAGAATCGTGTTGTGACTCTGCTTGCTGGCTGGTCTGTCTTGAAAGGCACACGGAGAACAGAATCGCGTACGAGGTGACAGTGCTCACGTAGTGAGAGCAGCGTTGGCCCCACACGTGCAGCTTGGCGTGGAGTTGCAGTCTCGGCCCACATGGTTTCCAAGCCGTCTTCATTTCTCTTTAGGCCATGCTGCGGAGCGGTACTACCCCGTGGAAATTTCTACAGTTGACTGTTAGCTTTATTCCTAGCTCTCCTTTGTTTTTTTTAATTAGGTTTGTTTCCCAGAGCATCCAGAGATGTGTTTTCTCTGAATGTAGATTTTGTTGTTTGTTTTTCTGAAAACAAGGGTAGAAATGTAGTAGATGAACTAAAATATGTTCTTTAGCATTCAGAAGATAATCTTCAGAGCCTTCAAGATCTGTGTAGAAACATACCCAAGGTAGCTCTTTGAAGAGTTTATGTGAAAAATTATTGATTTAAATGTTAAATCTTGATTTAACATTCTATCTGATTCGAAAAGTGTATTGTGAGGCTCTATACCTTGCATTTCGCCTGGGAAAGTCAGTTAACCGAGTTGTGCAGGAAAGGGATGAAGCATTTTTTTTGGAATTTTTGAACGTGGAATCCCAAGGCAGTGTCCGCGGGGTGCATGTTGGAGCACGACTCTGCTGTCATGGTTTCAGTTCGTTTCATCACATTACTGATTGATCGCAGTCTTCAGCTCACCAGTCCTAACCTATTTTTTTTTTTAATCATTGGCTTTTGAGATGAGTTGTTCATTCATGTAAATTTCCGTCCCCTAGTTCCTGTGTGGGAGCCCCAATTACTTGTGAATTTCCGTTGTTTCAACTTGACCACTGCACTTTGGGAGCTGTTTGGCTTGTTTTCACTGAATGGAGTTGACTTAGCATGTGTTTTGGAAGTAGCTTTGCTGCCTATTTGGTTGCCTCTGCCTGCTGTGGTGTGAAACATCCTGGCCTGAAGCGCATGTTTCTAGAATGATTACAATTGTGAATGTGCTTTATGAACAGTTTTCAAGACTTTATAAGTCAGAATTTTTGTATGCATTAATTCTTAAAAAAATGTAAAGATTGAGATACCTTTAAGTGAAGAGGCTGGTAGCATTCTGCATGGCTAAGTCGCTTTGGGGTCCCCATGCCCTCCACGTAGCATGCTGTAGCACCCCTGCATGGACGTAGCTTTGTGGGCCGACCGCCGGGTTTCAGCAGCTGCGTATCACGCTAGACCTGTTAGGACGTTCTGTTGAATGGCGCCAGTCGTCTGCGAAGCCCACATCAGCGTGTCTGTTAGCTGAATGTGCAGTGCTGAGTTTATCCATTCATTCTCGGTCCTGGCTTCATGGCAGCCTGAACCAGAGCTGGGGGTTAAGGAGTTTGTTTTCATGAAGGGAGTCACGCTGTGGGCGGCCCAGGCTACCTGCTCCCGGAGTTAAGGATGACAGGAGGAGGTGTCGCGTGCCTGCTCCACTGTTAGTGAGAGCCCTGGGTTCCCCAGGGCCAGTGAGGCAGGCCTCTTACACCTTGGTTTCCTGGAATTGAGATCCTGGTGTTGGGACTGAATAAAAACAGGCTGCTGAAGGTCACTGGGTGTAGGACGTTAGTGTAAAGTTACTCATAATACTGTTTGGGCAACCTTTGGCCTGCTGAATTCAGTAATATTGATGGTTCTTTCTTTCAGGTTATAAGAAGATGCTCAATGGTTGGTCCTTCTTCACGTTACTAAATTCTGGGTCTAGGAATGCATTTTTCACTCTTCTGTGGCTGGCGCTCGGGTCCCGAATGAGCCTCCCTTTTCCGTGTTTCCAGATAAAACAATACTACACCGGGGAACCCTGTGGTTCTTACAAACCCCGCAGTCACATGCTCCCGTGTCAGTCTGATTTTTAACCAGAAAATGGGCCTGTATTTCTGCCAGGGAATTTGGAACACAGTTCCAGCTCCCTCCTGGCCTCGCCTGGAGGCTGCCCGTGGGCCCCGGTGCGGTTGCCTGCCGTTCCCTGTGCCAGCTCGGCTCCTCTCCATCAGCTGAGGCCCTGGGACGGGGCTGTGTGACTGCACGCGTTCCCTGTGCAGCTTGGAAAGATCCCGGCCCCGTGTAGTATTGGTTACGTCTCTGTATCTGTGATCAGTGCGGCTTTCATACGGGGTCTGCCTTTTCTCTCGGAGTGGGTAACCGCGTGGCAGCTTGGGCTTGTCTTTTGTGTTCCTAAGAGGCAGCCATCATTCCAAGCCTTTCGGGAAGGCGAGCGGTGGTCCTGGAGCCACCGTGGGGTGTGTCTGTCGATGCTGCCTTCCCTCTTCACGCCCCTGCACGCCGGCTGTTGTCCTGCTTCCGTGATTAAACGAGGGCTTACTGATTACACAGGCTGGAAGCGCAATTCCTTGACCCCTAGGACGACTTCTTTTCCTTGTCCTGGCTGTGAGCACGACGTGGATCTCGGAGAACGAGGGATCAGCGGTCTGTTTCGCAATTTCACGTTGGAAACCATCGTCGAGAGATACCGGCAGGCAGCGCGGGCGGCCACGGCCATCATGTGTGACCTCTGCAAGCCTCCCCCACAGGAGTCCACCAAGAGCTGCATGGACTGCAGTGCCAGCTACTGCAATGAGTGCTTCAAGATCTACCACCCCTGGGGCACCGTGAAGGCTCAGCACGAGTACGTGGGCCCCACCACGAACTTCAGACCCAAGGTGAGCGCCAGCCTGCGGGCGTGAGAGGACGGGCAGCTCCAGGGGGCTGGAAGTGCGGGAGGCACTTAGCGCAGGGCTCAGCGTCCCAGCAGCTTAGAGGCAAGACTGTGGCTCGATCCGTCCCCGTCCAGGGAGACGCAGCAGCTGAATGCGTGTCTCTAGCGATGACTGAGCACCAGGCAAAGGTCGGGTCATCTTGCACGTCCTCCGGAATGGACAGGGTCGCCACCTTCCGTGTGCTGTTGTGCTAAAGCCCATATCTGCCCAGAAGAATTGGCTGGGAAACGGTTTTTCTGATGTTGTTAAGTTAGCTGAAAGTGTGCTGTGGATAAGTAAGAATCATCGCAGGCAATTGGTTGAAGGATTTCCTGGTTTCCTTCTAACTAAGTGTGGTGAGGTCACAGGTTCTCCTATCTTAGGATACCTCATAGAAGTATTGACCGTGAGCGGTAAGATGTGCCACGTCACTGCGGTCAGACGGCCTCTCTGGCTTGGTCGGGTATTCTGCTCTGATAGCAATGAGACTTTGACTTTGTTATCGACAGATGAGAGGAGATAGCATCTACGCGTTTATGGCCAATGGGGCTCAGGCTGACAGAACAGCTCATTCTGATTTAGCGGAATTTCAGGAGATGTAGCAAGCATCTTTCTCGGCAGACTGTACCGGATTACCTGGAACCCAGATCACACTGTCGTTCTTCATCCGGCAGATTTTGATGTGCCCAGAGCATGAAACGGAGAGAATCAACATGTACTGTGAACTGTGCCGGCGGCCCGTGTGCCATCTCTGCAAGTTGGGTGGCAGCCACGCCAACCACCGCGTCACCACCATGAGCAGTGCCTACAAGACCCTCAAGGTGGGACCTGCTGGTCTGGGCAACTGGGTTTTGAGTTTTTTTTTTTTTTTTTTTTAATGACTTAATGTGTCCAAGTTTCTATTGATGAGATCATGGTCTGTCATGTGATCTTTTTACTGAAGCAAGTTCACAACGTAACGTATTCTTCAGGGGTCTACTGATAGTGTCCGGCCCACAATTCTTTGGGGGTGCTGATACTGCCCAGTGCACGCTGGAGTCCATGCTGCGCTGGTTCCGAAGCCCAAGGAAGAGAGGGTAGGGGGAGGAAGAGGGCAGGGAGGGGACCCTTTGCCGGGACTCCCAGGTGAGCCCAGTGCCTGTGGTGTGGAGTTTGTGTGTATGAATGACTGTAGCTATTAGGAGACACACGATTCTTGGGTCTTGCCTATAGAGCTATTATAAACGTTGCCAGCTAAACCTGAATTATTTCCTTTCTGTTAACTTTATTTTTGGTCTTTGTGCATCTGTGCGAGAGACAGAGGGATCCATAAGGGTGGAGGCTGTGCACACACACACACACACACAGAGCTCACATCTGCTGGTCCATTCGCCAGATACGTGTGTTGCTTGGGTGAAGCCAGGAGCCAGGAACCCCAGCCGTGTCTCCCGCGTGGGTGGCAGGGCCCAGTTCCCATGCCTCAGGGAGTGTGCATCAGGAGCCAGAGGCAGTTATCAAAGCCAGGCGTCTGATCTGCCCAGTGCCTGCCTCTGTCTGGTAACTTGATACGTGACCCACTTAAAATTCCAAAATTCAGTGGCCAGCACCTGGGTGTGGGCGTCCTAAGCAGTAGACCAGACGCCCACCCTGTCTGTCAGCTTTACAACTTTCACAACTTGGAAGTCTGATAATCACCGCAAAGTAGGCAGTGGTATAATTCATTCTGTTACCTTCCTGTTTCCAACCACGTGTATGCATTCGGGCTCCTAGGTCTCTGTCGTGCCCAGGCTCCTCTCTGCTGTGAACACCGGGAGCCAGAGCTCTCGGAAATCTGTACAGCCTTCGTTGTTCTTGTCTGCTCCCTTTCTCATCTGTGTCGTTACGGGCGAGGCCAGTTGGGATCGATTTTTATTCTCGTTTTTGCGTTTCCCTGCTGCTCTGCTAACCTGTCAGTGTCACTCGCTGCTGGGTGCCGTGGCTTTGACCTTGGTGGGTGCCCGACAGTTTTCTCCCTCGGCAGAGGCTCTGCTTGCACTTGGAAACACTTGGTTTCTTCTGGGTCCTGCTTTAAAGCCCCATTAACAGGGCAGAGCAGCTCCGAGTTCGGGAGCCACCTTCAGCAGGTGTGGGGTCCCTTGGTGAGTGTTCCAGATGCCCCATGAGCTTAGACTTTGTGTGTGTTTTGTTGGTCTGGCTGGTGGAGCAGGCACTGCTCCCGGCCCTGTGCGAGCTCCTGGACTGGCTTCTCTGATCTTCCTGGGCGATTCTTTTCCTGGCCCCGGGCAGCTTGCCGGAGCCTAAGTTACCTGCAGGGTGTGCGGAGGAAACAGTCTGCTCTTTCGCAGGCCCCCACAGCATGCCCCAGACCTCTGTAGGTAGGCACATCTCCTACAAGCTGTCCGGAACCTTCTCTCATGGGGAAGTCTTTGATGTAGGATACCCTTAAGCTGTCTTTTGTGTCCTGCATTAATTTCTTTCATGTATGTTTCAGGCTGTTAAAAATAGACTCCAGATGCACCTTTCAGTTCACTTACTTTTTACTGAGGGAACAGCCTCCCTACAACAAAAGTAGCAAGCGGATCTCCTTCCTTTGTCCTTGTATTTCAGGGTACATGAGGTGGTTTGTAGGATCCTTTCTTCTGCTTTTGGTCCCTTGAGTTTTGGAAGTAGAGAGGGGCAGTGGGCATCGAGGAAGCTCCACTGTGTGCTGGCACTGCTGAGGCGGGGCTGGATTTCCTCTGCCCATTGCGGGCTGACTTCCAGTGCAGGGAACTGTGCCCAGTGTAGCTGGCTGTGTCCAGTGCAGGTGGCTTTGTCCAGTGCAGGTGGCCATGTCCAGTGCAGGTGCCTGTGCCCCAGTACAGGTGGTCGTGCCAGTGCAGGTGGCCGTGTCCAGTGCAGGTGGCCGTGTCCAGTGCAGGTGGCTGTGTCCAGTGCAGGTGGCTGTGTCCAGTGCAGGTGGCCATGCCCAGTGCAGGTGGGCGTGTCCAGTGCAGGTGGCCGTGTCCAGTGCAAGTGGCTGTGCCCAGTGCAGGTGGCCATGCCCAGTGCAGGTGGGCGTGTCCAGTGCAGGTGGATGTGTCCAGTGCAAGTGGCTGTGCCCAGTGCAGGTGGCCATGCCCAGTGCAGGTGGGCGTGTCCAGTGCAGGTGGATGTGTCCAGTGCAAGTGGCTGTGCCCAGTGCAGGTGGCCGTGTTCAGTGCAGGTGGATGTGCCATAGTGCAGGTGGCTGTGTCCAGTGCAGGTGGATGTGCCATAGTGCAGGTGGCTGTGTCCAGTGCAGGTGGATGTGCCATAGTGCAGGTGGCTGTGTCCAGTGCAGGTACCTGTGCCCTAGTATAGGTGGCCGTGTCCAGTGCAGGTGGCCGTGTCCAGTGCAGGTGGCTGTGTCCAGTGC